AGAAGGGATGGAATGGATTTCGAACTCGGAATTCGAATCCTTGTTCTGCTGTGTTTGGCTTGGGCTGAAAATACATATAGTACCAGAGTTTGATTGCTGGAGAGTCAATTGTAGGCAGTGGAATTTTGTGTTTTACAAACTGTTCCCCACCCACTCCCTTTCTCACCACATCAAAATACCCTTACTTACCAAATCTGAGATGCCATCGACAACCCTACCACTCACCCAACCACCTACATGTACTCTGCCCCCCTCAAAAGAGGCAGCTATGCTTAGGGAATACTTAAATGCATGAACAGTGTAACAGCATGCTTTCATCATTCATCAAAATGATTTCTAAAAATGTAGCAATGTGTTTGGACAGTATTCAGATTCACTTGTTCACAATTGCGTACCATCTTGCCTCCAAGCTACTGGACCGACCTGAAGGAAGAGGTCTGGTATCTTTGCTGGGTCCCCAGCTGGTTTTAACCCTAACAGTCCTCAGTCCTCCAACAGGTGAAGGATTGAGGAGCGTTAGGGTTAAACATACTAGTTTAAAACCAACCTGTCACACTTCTGGGGTGAAAAAGGAAACTGAATCGAAATTTTGAATTTATGAACATGTCCTAACGTGGAGATCAGCACATCTGGTGCAAGCTGCTGGGTGTGTCGCAGAACGTAGCTAAGCTAATGCAAAGCTAAAATTTGACTCCGTGAGATCTTGACAGGGATCATATTGTGCCCTGTGTAATAGTGATTGTCATGAATGATTGTGAAGGAATAAAGTCTACCAAATACACGTACATGTGGTTGTCAAAATTTCATAAAAAACCAGGATGGTGTTAAAACTGATTAGCACATTTGTCATCTAGCAAAAATTGTCCATGTGACAGGCTGTTGACCAATAGGAATTGATACGGCATGTTCTTCAAAAGATGAACCAAAATGCAACTCCGCATGTCATTTTTCAAATCTTCGGAGTGACTTTGGTCATTAACAACTCGAGTTTACACTTTCAGATTTGTAAAAATGATTATTTTAGGATAATTAGGCAGCTTGTGTTCATTTTGTCCACATTTGGGCGGCTACCAGTGCAAGTCGAAGGGAGTTGAACTCATTTAAAGTTTTTCAGTCAAAATGTTTGTACCAGATGACTTGATTTCAAAATTTATCTCAACTATCAAAGAAAACTCGGTAAACTCTTCATTAGAAAGACCGTTAAAGAAAAATTAGCCATGAAAAATATAGTACAAAATTGACGGAAAATGATGAGAAAGATTTGGCTCTCTCCATTCCCGAATTGTTTTAAATTGTTTCACTCCCACTGTACCAGCATATCTGCCAAGTCTCATGCCTTTGAGCCACCCAAGATAATCTGTTTGTTTGGCTGCATCAAAAATATGTAATGAGTACATGTTCGTTGCGAACGTCATATTAGACAGAATTTTGATGACATTCGAGAATTTTGATGGAAAATGCATGATGTGTGACATTACCAAAACTGCTGTTGCATGTAGTGCTTGCAAATTACATGGACAATGCTCATTTTGCCATTAGTTTTGGAGATATCCCCACTCAAAATTACATCAAAATTAAGAGTCATATTTTATGTGTCACACGTCATTTTTTGCCAACATCATTTAGAAACATCCCGGAGCCTTGCACTCCCATAGACGGTGCACTGTCTGGGCTGATGTCTAAGGTTAAACAGCCTACGAGGTAGCAAAACGTTTCTGCAATGTCACTGTGAAATATTGAAGGACGTCCCAAAGTCATCGTGATCAGTATTTTAGACTGGGGTTTATGGAAACGTTCTTGAAGAAAATGTGATTGTTCAAGTCGTAAGAGGATAATGGTTTGGGGTCCTTTCTTGCACGCTTTTCTTAAGCTTGTGCTGTACATAGTTTAATTTTCATTTACTCGCTGGTTTTTTATGGTCGATAGTTTTGACGGAATTGAATCACATTAGCAGCTGCCGACTTCAGAACCCAGTAATTTGTGAGACATGTTTTTTATTTTGTGATTACGGTTTTAATAAGTGAATATTATCATCTTTCACCACTTACAAAGCTCTTCATGGATTACCGTGGGAATTATAACTTTCCGATAATTTTTAGGATGCCAGGATTTGCAGATTGTTCATATTCATCTTTAATTTTTGAACCATGATCTTGATGAGGGATGGGCATGGTCATCAGTGTTTCAGATATCAGCCATGACTCCCCTCATTTCATCAGACATTTTGTTCATTTCAAGGTTTTATTAACCCCAAGTTCATTGATGTCCAGTTTCTCATATTTTGTAAAACTTGTCATATGCTGTCTGAGGTATTTCTTTTCTTACTTTTGCTCGTAACAGCAAATGTGTTTAAGGAAGTACTATTGCTGTGTGTTCATTTCAGATTAAAGAGCTATTTCTTCTGTCCTCTCTGTAGATACTGATGAGGCTTTTTGTCTCTCTTAGACTTCCAGAGTTAGAAGTCACACTCCCAAAAGTTTAATTTGGGACGAAATTTGTGCACCTGTAATTTCCTCATTGGAGTAAAGACATGCATTTTACAAAGCTGATTTGCAGCTCTGCATTGAAAATGCCAACTTCTTGCAGAAACTGAAGAATTTCCAATTTATTTAGTAAACTGCTTTTTTGTTCAGTAGGCCTAAATGTTTTGTACTGGAGACTCTTTCCTGGAGACCTTTGTGACGTAGACCTGACCTTGCTCTATGTGGGCACAGTTACAAGACTGGGACCTTGTTTATGGTCTTGAATACCAGGCTAACATTGACCCCATTCAACCAGACTCTTCTTTCCAATCACTGCAGGAAGGGGAAGGACGTGCCCATCCAGGTCTCTTTCAAGCAGTTCTTTGGTACCACCACCAAGCTCAAGTACCTGAACCTTTCCAGGAACAAGCTGCCTTCCGAAGTGGTCAAGTATGCAGCAAGATTGTTTCGTTTTTTTCTCTTTGGCTTATAGGAAAATTAAACTCCTTTTAATTACATGTACCTTTCTTCATAAAGTAGTCTTGTCAAGAGAATGAGTCGCTCAGATAATACGTTAATAAGAGTTAAATAGACTTTGCACAATTGAAGTAAATTGTTTATTTTTATGTTGATTAGGTTTTCAAGCTGTGGTTTGAATGTGAACAGTTTGAATGCTGTAAAAAGTTAGCAATATGGAATGGAAATAATTCTTTGGGGTTTAGAGATTTTTGTGTCTGTTGCAACTTGCAGAGAGGTGCTCATGGGCATCGGAGGCAATGATAATCTGCGAGATGTGGAACTAGACCTCAGCTGCAATGAGGTAACATAGTCAGGTCCATATGCTGTGATAGACTGGAGTCTTGATAACATCTGTTCATTGGAAACATGACACAGGAATGTTTAGCACATGTGTGCCACTTCCCAAGTGCCTCCCTTTAAGAGTTGACTTTGTAAAGTAGGATGGAATCTTAGTAAGAAAGGACATGGTTGATTGATCAATGGCTTTTAACTGTTTTCATAAGTCATGTGACATGGGACCTCAACTGTTTTTATTTTTCCAAGAACATGTCCCACACATTTTGATGCTTCTGGACTATCAGTGCTCATCAAATCCTTTTAGTCTGTAAATGCCATTTATTTTAGTATAAATCATTTCCCAGATACCTGAAATTTATCACATTTTTGAACATGACATTTTTTTTCTGCAGTCATGTGTTGATGCCTACTTTAGCTGTTCTGATTAAGTGTAATTAGTCAAATCATGCAATAAGGAAATGGCAAACCCAACAAAGCTGGCATTATCTACAAAAGAGAGAGCAACCCTGAACGTTCTGCTCTTAGTCAATCGTTCATTTTCTTGTTTTGTCCCAGCTGAAGACAGAAGGTGGTCAGGTTGTAGCTGGAAGCATCGCATATGTCAACAACATCACCACCTTGAACCTGAGCGACAATGACCTCAATCTAGAGCTAGTCCGACTCATTGATTGGATAGGCCAAAATAGGTCCCTCCAATCACTGGACATCAGCAAGAATATGGGCGGGCTCAAATACAAGTAAGGCCGTCAGTAAATCAGCCCCATATTAATGATGCAGGTTTTGTGAAAGATAAAGAAATCATTGGGGAGTTGATTGGATTTGAACGAGGCCTGTTACATGTACCCCTCCTCAGACATTGACAATGTTGACGTTGTACCCTTCTAGTACTTTTTCACAACCAAATGCTGAGCTATTGAGAGACATTGTGAGAGAGACATTGGAAGTACACAACAAATTGTGATAGAAGAAACATAGGTGTTTTTTGGTATTCATAACATTACTTTTTGGGGGTTAAAATTTTTAACAGAAGTACTTAAAGATCTGTACTTTCTGTAAAACATTGGTCTTGAAATCTCGGTCTTTACAAGATTTTGTCCAATCTCTTTAATTGTCTTTGGTAAGTATAAATCTATTTAATGTATTATTGAGATTTTGCCTTGCTGTATCACCTGAATATCTTACAGTAAATTTGGTACTGCCATTCACCGGAGCACAGATCTTTCTTCACACCTACAGCTGTCCCACACCTTTAGACATTGGTACTTGAGAAGATGCGCCCTTGCTATTTAGAGCATGAGCTGAGGAGTAACACAGTTGCTCAGAATTTGGCAGTAGATTGATGCCTGAGCAAACAATGGAGTGAAGATGTCTTTTCCTCGCAAGGAAACCCTTTGTGTCACTACTGTGCTTGATCTAACTGAAATGTACCTAAATAATTTCATCCTTTTTTGCTGTTCTGCAGTCCTGAAGCTTCTATCTCATACCACACCTGGATGTAACTTGAACATTCATAGTATGAAATCTCTTCTGTCTTTTAGGCAACTCCTAAAGGTGTTGGATACCATTGTACAAGTTGTCCAGAATGAGGGATTGGTAAGTGAACATTCAGCACTTTCCCTCTTTGCCGTAGGCAATGGGCATTTCCAAAGGTGGCCTTTGGGCATGTATCTGATTTTTTCCAGTGGTTTTGAAGGATATCTCTTTATGATATTGATATATGTTCGCATGATTCTTATTTGAAAATGTCTGATCACTCAAGGATTCCTATCTACGTGAACTGCTGTAATATTTCCAGATGTGAGGAGCATGCTGCAAAGTTGAGTCCATAACTTGGCCACAATTTTGATTAATTTTTCTGAAATATATAAATATTGAAATATTGCTGTCTGCTTATTGTGATCTTTCAAATTTCTCATGCAATTAATATTTTACTGCATCTGATGATTTGTATTTCCATCATTTATAATCCCAAGGAGAGCACAACTTTCGTTTTTATTTACTTATACTCAGAATTAATGTGACACTGAACATATTCTTCTCTTGACTTTACTGAAGTAACTTTGCTCATAACTATTGGCAATTGAAAAGTATAGGGAGAGTAGAGACAGTTTGGGCCAATACAATCATGTTTTTTGTTGTCATGTTTGTCGGCAGTCCCTGCACACCTTGTCACTGGCTGACAACAAGATGAAGTTTGAGACAATCCAGATCATTAATGCCTTGGGAAGTAATACCACACTGACCAGCATTGACATCAGGTGAGACTTTGCACCAAACCGTTCAACCTGTCTGTGACTCACGATGGAATGTTTGCATTAAGGGAGGTGGCAGTTTTCATATTTAGTTTTTGACCGTAACCAGCATAATGACATTTGTGGAGGGCAAAACTGGATGTACGTATAAACCTATTAGGGGTCGTGGTTTAAGGTTTTTTGAGGGTCTCACAGCCAGTATTGTGACGGCTTCTAACTTTCACTGCTTGGTTGAATGGGAATGCAATTATTATTGGCCCACCATTTCTTGAAACAAATTGGCATTTTAATGAGAAGGACTGTCCCTGTTTTTGTAGTTTTGGTGTCAAAATGACAGCACGACATCAAAGAAAAATCTCTTGAAGGCCCCATGCATAAAACTTTGTTGAGATGATATCAGAGAAAATGTACACCGGCAGATTCCATCCACCCCCGGCTCATGTTAAGATTAAAGTCCCATCTCTCCAGTGTATCCTACATGTACATTGATTGCAACAGCTTGAGTCACGTCTGCTCTAGGAAGCAGAAGGTTGTGGGCTTAAGCCATAACGGGGCAAGCTGTTAATTGATTTTCTTCTGAAGTGTCGTAGCATGGAATATGGAGCCCTCATAAAATGAAGGGCAAAGCCTTACATTCTGTCTTGGTCATTGTATAAACACCCCTTACTGATTCATTATTCTCTGTCTTGAAACTGTGCCGTCTGAATTGCTTCGGTAGAGTAATACACGTACGTAGAATTTAGGTCCTGTATGAACGAGGTGCTTATTAAGTTTTGGAGAGTACAGTTTAAGTTTCATCTGATGTGTATAAATCCAACTAATCTTGGTGTTTGCATGGGGCATACAGTATTAATGACACTAAACTGCTGGCCCAGTCAATCTGCTTGTCACCAATGAAATGCAACTACTGCATGTTGTTTATCTTGCCAGTTTGGGGAGACAAGTGTCGGTAAAGTGCCTTGCTTGTGAACACTGTCCAAAGCTTACTGGATGTGGCATTTTGACACCAATTCCTAATCACACATCATGTATGCATGCCATTGCCATAATAACCCTTACAAGTGTTACATGGTACCATATTTCTTCTCTCAGTGGTAACGGCATGGGTGATATTGGTGCCCGTATGTTGGCCAAGGCTCTTCAGCTGAACACCAAGCTACATACCGTCAAGCTGGATGGTAACGGCATCACAGCAGTCGGCTTCACTGATCTTGCCAATGCTCTGGAAAAGTAAGGCAAAGAAAGTAAAAGAAAAAAGTTTGGTCTGACCGTCGAATGTAACAACACAACATGTATGTCAGGTGTCCCTCTGGAAGTTATTTGTGAAGAGGAATGAATATGTGAAAGATAAAGTTCATTTGGAAAGTCAGTTTTCGAGGGTCAGTTTGTGAATTTTGTTGGTTATTGCATTGGTATTGCAGTAGGGTCAAAAGCTCAACCGGCAGTAAGGGGGATTGTCAATCCAGCTGATCTATGTTTGTTAATTTGAGTTTAAATGTGAGGAACCAGTCATTTCTTCAGCAGTGACAAGTGAGAGGCGTGGTCACAGTTGAGTAGACGGAGCCAACTGTGCTGTTCATTTTTAATGCGAAGACCAGTCCAGGGGTAAAAATCATGTAAGAAGTTGAAACAATAGTTTTCAGGAAATAACCACACATGCACACAATTTTGGAATGCAGTGCTGTCACTAACAGCAGGATTTTTAAGTGTGTGTCAAAGGCCAAAACATTGGTTGAGTTTAATAAAAGCAGAGCTTGGATTAGAAATACATGTACCAGTGGTAATAATGTTCACTTCCTGACAGGAACTACACACTGAAATATATGCCAACCCCAGTCAATGATGTCAGTGCGGCCTTGAAATCCCAGCCTGAGAAGACCTCCGCCTCCCTGCAGAAGATCCAGAACCTTCTGCAAAGGAACCACAGTCAGCATAAGTTCCAGGATGAGCAGGCCTTCAGGCTACAGCAGGGATTCTTGTATACCACATCACACCAGGTACTGTATCTAAACATCCACAAACAGGCACTGTGCCTTGCATACGCTAATCTTGTACGATTATGTCAGCAGTGTAAAGACCCACTGTCCGATGCCTTGTGAACAGCATGCTACCTAGCTGCAATCCTGGACAAATCTCGTTGGAACATGCCTCCCACTCGCCCCCCTGTCAATGTTGTTTCTCATTGGGTAAGCTGGGCTTAATCTTGGTCCAATAAATGACTGCAACACTGAATGGGGGATCTTTTCACCCCGCTTCCCACAAGGTGTTCCAACTATTTTGTCCATGATTGTAGCAGGGTGTGAATATCATGCTCCATGCCAAAACAAGAGATGACGTGATACATATGACTGATCTCCCTTTAGTGATAACTCATGGCATGCGCAAAAAATTTAATGCACGTTTTGCAGAGAACATGCCGAGCATGCACAGCCAATCTGTTAAGTATAATGTACAGTCTTCGGATGTGTGCTGTGCACCAATCTCTTCCTTGATTGTGTGGAAGGATACTTTAATTTATTCTTTGGAAAGTAACGTGAAACCTGTGTCTTTTGACTGTTTAATCACTATTGTAGGGGGACAAGTCCACAATTTTGTGCTTGCTGTATCCACAAAGTCGACTTTATCATGGACTTACCATAAAGTAATCCAATGACAGTTGCAATTTGCAGTTATCTCCACCAGTGGCAGTAAGCATTGTTGTAACTATGGGATAGAACCATGGTTGACAAGCTCTCTGTACTAATCCAATGACAGTTGCAATTTGCAGTTATCTCCACCAGTGGCAGTAAGCATTGTGGTAACTATTGGATGGAACCATGGTTGACAAGCTCTCTGTATGAATGCATGTGCTTTCTGCCATTAAAGGGGTCATCGGAAATGTCCAAAGAATTGTGACTAGATTTGTCCGTTGTTGGCTGTTGGAACATGGGTGGTGTGTTTCATACCTTCTCAAGTACGCATGGCCCACTAGTCTGCAGCTTGGGTTCCATGCATCCCTTAGTTATCAAGACTTGCTTACCATGTCCTACACCTACATGTGCAGTACTCATCAGTCTGGTGGAATATATATTTCTACTGAAAAAGTGTCCATTTGTCAATTGATAGAAACAGATATATTTCTCCCTCCTGATATGTCCAATCAACCAACAAGGACACAGTGATAACTAGCCTCATCTCCAGTCATTTTTAATTGAACTTCAAAATTGGTGGAAGTGAGGAACTTCAGTTTCAGTCATAGAAAATCTTCCTTTGAGAAAAAAACAAGCTCCAACATCCTGAGGGACAATCCTTTAGTAGTACTACATAGACTGCTGTGTGCACAGTTGATAACTGGATCCTGTATACACGCACATGTTCATGTAATTTGAATGTGCAATCTGCACTGTAGGATATCCCATGACCGGCATTGGTTCGAAGGATGTGCGACCTAACCACGTATATTGTGCATGTACATCATCAAGTCTTTTGTTTCTTAAAAAAAGTAGCCTTTCATTAAATGATTCACTTGTGTCGCAGATGGTAGACAAGTTGGTAGTACAAATCCAAGATGCCATCAAGGGCTTGATTGACTGCAGTGAGGATGACATACAGGCAGATATCAATAAGGCACAGGATTACATCCTAGATGCAGACAACTCCAAGCTGGTAGGTGGTGAACTAGGACTGGCTGGGTTCAGATATGACACTAAAGCCCACTTTCATAGATCTGTTACCTTCAGCAGTATTTGCCTGGGCTTGGCATTCAGCAAAGGCACATAACTGTATGCTAACCATGGAAGCATGAAATCCATTGCCACAGGATGTGTACAGGAGTCTGAACCGAATTCATTGCTAATCTGGGAACAATTTCTGTCATAGTGAGCAGAAATTCTTCATATGCCACACATAGAGCCATGAAATTGATCCCATGTTAACGTAGATGGATTGATTGGTGATTCACCTTGAGCTGAGGCTGTGATTGTTGTGATATATTAAACCCATCACCAAGCTGTCAAGAGTAAACAAAACACCAAAATCTCTGCAAATACTCTCTCTCACCGACCTGCAATCAAACACAGAGGGTGAAGTTAAAGAGGCTGGTTTCTTAGTCTGTGTTCTGACTTGGAAGTTGTTTGGAGTAGTGTATGTAACCAGGTTTACTTCCCTGGTTCACTGCATTTAAGAAAAATTAAATACCACTGCTCCCCATGAACTAACAACATTGTTTACAAATTTTGAGTAGCGAGAACATTCTGTTAGACGTTGCTAACCTGAATAGGAACAAACCAGACTCTGCTGGATTCTGCATTGTATTGTACTCTGCAATCATTGGTTTTCATCGGATCAATTTGAAAACCCCCGGAGACCTTGAAGAAGTTAGGGGTTCTTCTCTGAGGTGGTTGCCCACCCTCTAATGCACAGTATCGTGTGTGATGTGTGTGTTTGTAGTTGCTGGCTGCCCTCCAGCAGGTAGCCCTGAATGCAGAGTCAAGCAGTCTGAAGCTGAAACTGGGCGAGATGGCCAGCGACTTGAGAGGCATCGTCGAGGCACAATTGGAGGTGAGCATTCACTCACTGCAGTACATGTACAGTGTACACATGTGATGCCTGCAGCAAAACTCCTGTTCATGCTTCCTTTTTTTCCCCGTGGATGTTTATTGAGCATCAAATTAATTAGCACGATGACCTCCTGGGGGGAGGAGAAGGAAGAAGTGGGCAACGGGGCTCCCCTGAGGAAATAATGTTGTTTTTGAAAAGTAATAAGAGGAAGGTGATTTTTGGGACGATTTCATTTCCCTTCCTTCCAAAAGCAATTAAAATGCTCCAAACTTTGCCCACCCCTCAGAAAGGACGTAAAGGTTACAAAAAGAAATTGCAAAAACGTTTTGGCTTCCCATGACATTTTGGGCTCTGCTCCTCTTGTTAAAAGTAAAAAAAGAATAAAAAGGACACCGATTGGTTCTTGACCGGCCATTTATGTCCTCTTTCCCAAACTTCAATTTAGGATTTTAGGATGTTTACCACTGAAGTGTTGATGATCAGGAAAACAAATTTTACATCACTGGAAAAAGCAGTTTCTTTATACGACTTATAAGTCTGATTCGTAGCCATCTGCAAGATGAGATCTCTCTGATTTCCCCGGTTTTCTTGGATTTCTCTGAAATTCGAGATAAAAACTTGAATATTGAACTTAAAATGATCTTTCCTTATAAGGGGAAAATGTGTCTACAGTTGTATGATTGCAACCCTGAATGAGTGCAGAGGATATTTGTCACCTGTTTGTTTATTGGTTTGCATTGGATGGAGCAAACTGTGTGCTTTGTTTTGATGTTTCACTTTGTGAAAGATCTCCATTCAGGTGGGCATTTTGTGGGTAAGAGTGAATGTAAACAGTTCCTATTTGTTTCCATTGTACAAAATTAATTTGTGGGCATGCAACTGACAAGTATAGCAGTTTTGGAGACTCATTTTTTGACATGGCATCATATTTGATTCACTTTATCCACGCCCATTTTTACATGCCATTAAATAATTGATTCTGATAATTTCAATCAGGGACCTGAGCCCTGATTGGATGATATGCAGATTTTGACTCAATGTGCTGTTGTACAGATTATCTGAACCTTCTGAACTGAATATTCTTGAATCCCCGAAAAACCCCCATTTGTCTGGAAACCAATGGTGCATTAGTTGTACATAAACTTCTACAGGTATAAATTCCAAGGACGTAGCGCTAGAATGTGGAAGGATGTTGGAGGGTTGGAATCGCCATAAGGAAATCACTGACTCGTTCACATACTTCTGTACAGGCAAGTGCAACTGGCATGATAGATACAGCCAACGAGCAGTGCAGTAACGTCATGCTGAACAGCACCCTCAAGGAGAGCTTGGAAACCATGTGTCAGGAGCAGACCAAAATACCGCCCCGATTCCTGCAAGATGTCGTAGAGCAAGTTGGGGCAGCCGTCTCCAACAGAATGGGGTAATTTCGGTCTCTTTGCTATGCCTGAATGCTGTCTGGGCTGTATTCCGGTCTAATGTTTGTGACCGTTTTGAGCATCTCCATTAGCAAATTGTGTTCATTGGTATTGATAGTGTTTGCAGAAATGGGATACCCTGAAGGGGGGGTGTTATTTACCGTAACACTGAAGATTTAGAGTACTCCAAACAATGTGTGAAATGGTGCGTGTTGCACAGTTTCTGTACATTTGGAGGTAAAAATAATGCGTTTCCATTGTGAAGTGTGTATTTCCAAAGCACGGTGAGTGGGTCTGACATTCACACTGTGAGTGAACAAAAGGAACTTTGACACACGTCATTCTGGAACATCAATAGGCATGTGTAATGTTGGCCCAACCAGGGCAGCCTTATGCAGACTCGCACTCACAGCACTTTTGAGTCAGTACTTTGTTCACAAATAATATATCTAATCTGCGCATTGATTTGATACACTCTCATGTCATATTGTCATTACCTGACAAGTCCTGTTTCACTGTCATCTTATACTTGACAGTTTGGGGCTTGTCACATCTTACTGTGACTAATCCATAGTAGAAAACAGGTTTTCAGCCAATGTTACCTATATGTCTTAGCCTCTTTCAGTTTGGGGTTGTAACTGTACTGATCTACTTTTGTACGGATAAGGCCATCTAGCTATAGAGTGCGGAAGTGAATACCTCACGCACACAGTTGTGTGTATAAAAAACGTTAGTGTGAGAACCAGCACGTAAACCAACAAGCACATGTACTCCATTATGTTACACCACACCTCCTGCTTCAAAATGGCATCACACTTTGGTACTGTATAGCTTTGGCTATGGTTGTTTCATTCATGCATCCTGGCCCATCACCACCAGCCAATCGTTCTAATTGCACTGTTACTTTGCGATGCACAGAGAGGCCCATTTGGCAATGGCTAGCCACATCTCAGACACCCTCATTGATGAAATTATGGAGCAACTCACCGGGAGCTATCAGAAGTTGGTAGGTGTAGCCTTGTGTCGTGCACAGACCAGTATCTGCAGTCACCAACTTGTAATCAAGAGTTTACTGAGCACTTTGAAGCTGTACATGTATCAGGTGATAGAAGGTTGTTTTTGAGCATGTCAATGCCTTTGGTGCCGCCTCCAATTTCTCTGAAGGCCCTGCAAAAATGCACTTAAAGAGAGGAATTTGCAATGAAAAACTACCTGACTTTTTGCTCAGCACTGCTACTTCAAAAGCTAAACCTTTTTCATCAGTGGTCCACGTCAAATCTACTCATAAGAGGTTTAATTGGGCTGTTTGTAAAAACCATTGTCACTCTGTGATTCACATTTCCATATTGCCAACAAATCTAAAAAAAGGTTCAATTTTGAGTACAGCCAAATTATCTTCCTCGCTGGTTGCTGGGCCATACTGTATGTAAAATGACACTGTACAATTGACCACCTCACATAAAGTATAACATTGCTCGCCACTTGAAGTTCTTTTAACACATAGGATTATTGGTTCTCTTCCTAAGAAGTATACATGCATTTTCGTCAGGAGTCAAGTAGATTGCTGTTTCTCTAGTTTACCAATATTCTGGCCAACTTCAGCAGCAAGGTTTTACTAGATTTGAACATGAATTTGCTAGTTTTGAAAGTTAAAGGGGGACTGTAGAGCAACAGTCTTTAGCTAGGGTTACTCTGCACGCATTAGGTGTCAAAACCAACCGAAAAGGAGGTTCAAAACAGGAAAGGAATTATGCTGAGAAATCAGTCTGTTTGTAGTGGTCATCTTCCTTTGAGACCTGGTTTTTGTTTTGCTGTTGGTGTGTTTGCAGTCAGATCAGCTGCTTGATTATCGGGAGAGAAAAGGATCTGTTCTATTCAACGGCATGGGAATGGAGATGAATGACAAGGATGCTGGAAATGAGAAGGATGAATATGCCAAGAAGGAGGATGGAGATGTAGCTGGAGAAGAGGAAGCCAAGGTGACATTGAATCACAGAGTCTTAATTGATTACTGGGAGATTCCTGGGATTGGCTTTGCTGTGTATCAAAATTGGCCTGTTTATTATCAGACAATTCAGCACTGGGCAGTGGTATTATCGATGAAAAATTTGGAGGCTATCAAAGATTCGACAGCATACACCTGTAAGTCCCTGTCATTTATATATCAGAACTTGTTGCTTCTGAGGAGCGTTTCCATTCATTTTCAGTTACTCTTTCAGAAGTCGAGATGCCAACAGATAACAAAAGATAAATCAAATTTTGAGTCAAGATAAAACTGGCACATGTGACCTTCCCATATTTATCAGAATGAAATGCTATCGTTAAGAAGCAACTTGTTTAAAATCAATGCGCAGGAAACAGCACACATCAGCCACACTTAACGCTTGGCCTCTGTTTGGTTGCCTAAAGTTTGCACAGCAAACTATGCTTATTTGGAGAGTGTGGAGATCACCGTGTTGGTGTTTTTGTGGGTTTTTCTTTTGTTTTACTTTCATCTTGCACGATTCACACAGACTCTTGTCTGCCTCACTTCACGTTGCTTTACAAAAGGCGTAAATCTCATAGACATTCCTTCCACTCTAGTCTGTTGGACCTAACAATGATGTGGCCCCTGAAGTTGTCACGAGCAAGCAAGACATTGACATGGAGGGAAAAGATCCATTGTGTCGTATTGCCTGCTGTTTGGTTAGTAGCAGGGCTATATGATGGCATGACAGGCCGCAGGCAATTTCAAGACATTTTTCACAACAACATAATGCCATTTATGCGACATTTGTTGCATATATTGTGCAACAAAGTAAGAGCGATTTGACAAAATTTACACTGCACAAGTCTGCAACTTGCGCAAAAAAGTTATTATGTAACTTTGGCAATCATTTTAGGTGGCATAAATTGTGCTGAAGAAAGCAAAAAGGAATGATTTCACTAACTTGTTACATGGGATAAAGGCTTATCAGTGCTGAATTTAACAAGGCAAGAAATGTTAAATGTTGTTTCAGAGAGTAATGAAAAGCTTACTTTGGTGTGAGAGAACTTAGAGATTTTCTGTCTGGTTCTAAGAAGAAAAGACAAAAATGGTAATTCAATGACCGTTGGATAACTGCTGTAATATTGGAAAGGAAAAGATGTAAAAAATGGAAAAGGCATTATTGTCCTCGTCCAAGAAATTTAATGTGATTAAAATGCCGGGGAGCTTTTTGTGAAATCAAATGAAAATATATTGCACAGCTACGGCACAAATTTGTGGTGGAAGGCTTACGCATGGCTCACAATGATGGCGTGTTTCGTGAAATTGGTTGCTGGTCCCACGAGCACTGATGAAGGAGAAGAGTTCTGGGAAAGAATGAAAGATGAGGACCAGTCAAATTGAAAGCAGCTCCGTTTGTAAATCCATTTGCAGTGGATTTGAATGATGTGTTTTCAGAGTGTCACTTGAATATCATACCCCAATCATCCGCAATCCAACCAATGATGTTTGCACAATGTGTCTGTGCCTCATGAGATATCAGCTGAGCTCATCTGGAACACTGAGTATTCATCTATGGCAAGAGTACTCGACTACACACTCTGTGTCAGTAGTACTCATGTACTGCTGTATCCTTTAGCGTGTGGGCAGACAGCTGGGACTGTCCTTTACCTTTTTGGACGTGACGGTTTGGTGCATTAATCGGGGCTTGATGAACTAACATCCATTTGCATGATATTCCTGGCTCCCGTTTTTGCTACATTTTTCGATCCGGACTTCATACTCATTGCAGAAAAAGAGAGCATTCCTTGAATTATGCGTCCTGTAGAAACAGTTGCTCATTCATTGCTTATTTTGTGCAACAGTGCTTGAAGGGTCAAATACGTGTATCTGGATTTTTTTTTTTGACGGATGGGGGATGCCTCAAAGTGGGTAGTCCCATTGATGGTAAATTTTTTGAAAAAAGAAAGAAATTATTTGGATATTTATACTGTGTTACCAATCACTTTAAAATCAATTGCCTTGTTGCATTAAAATGAAAACTTAAGTGTGGAAGCCATTTTTTATGGATAAATTTGGCGTTACTAATGCCAAATATAAGATGCAGTTTTATATTTCTCATCAGACTATGGGTAGTGTGATTGATGAAAGTTGAACAATCTTATGCCGCTAATAAAGGAAACATATCAACAGTAGTTTGTTACATTATTTATTGCATTAAAGTGTTTCTAAGAAGCAATTAATGAAAAATACTCATTTGAAAGTAATTTTACTTTTGGTGAAATAAAAGTGTGCAGAAATTTCATTTTGGACTAACAGTGTTGCTGAAGGAAAACAATGCGTTGGACTTGTGTCCATTGCGTCCACTTTTATTGAATGTAAATTAGCTGACTCCGCTGATTGCATGAAAATTGTTTTCTACAATGGTAAACTATGCGCATATTGTACTTCTGAAACTCCCTGACTGATGAGCAGACACTTAACACCCACCCCAATCCCAACAGAGTCCGGAGGCTGTGTTGCCAGCAGGCCAACTGGCCAGCCAGAGAATGTCACGCTACCAGAAACGTGAGATGGGCCGCAGTGAGTCCGTCCGGTTCAAGGCAGGTGTTAGCTCTGTGGACCAGGGCTGATTGTCACTCCAGTGTAACACTTGCTTCACTTTTTTGTTCGTGTTGACTTGCGAATGCCTATGCACAAAGCCTGCTCATTAACAGTGCACATCCCAGCATGCAGAGAGCTCAGTTTACTAACGTGTCTTTCAGAAGTAATTTCGTTTATTTTTCTTTTGTTCAACAAAACAAGAATTTTGTTTGCTGTAGCAATTTAAGACCTTAAGTCATGAGGCTTCATTGTCATCAACATGCTCCAGTTGATCATAATGGTCTTATTTTAGTTTGCCGAGCAATTAAGAGCAGTTTTTAGCAGTTTTTTTTCCCTGGAATATGTTTTCTGCACAGTAAAACTTTCAGTACTCGTAACTTCATTCCCTCTCCAAATTTTTCTGTGTAGTGATTAGGCTTAGGTGTAAACTGGTGGATTTGACAACCAATACTTACTCTTTATCATCCTCACAGACAACTAAAGGTTAATTGATTAACATTAAAGTTGAAAGAACGTAACCACATCTTGCAGCCCATACAGTGAGTGAGATAGACAAGCCATGATTGCTTGCTGTATTTCTTTCAGGCTGTTTTCTTATTATTTAAAAATATAGATATGACTGGGTCTGTGAAGTCGCTCAAAACAGGCAACTACAGGGGTGAAAGGTTTTAGCGTATGTGTTTTTTGGCAACTTACCAATGGTATTTCCTCATAGTTCCCTTTTATAATTTGGACCCAAACAGTGTACCACCGTGTTCATTGAGTACCACTGAAAAAGATGACTTGGTTACTTCACAGCAGTCAGTGTTTCAGCCATGTAACCTTCCACCTTCATGTATATATCTTGAGCTTTTGCAGGTGACCTGTGTATGGAAACAGTAGACGACCTCACAAGTAAAATCCATCATTATCCTGTAAAGGAAGAAAATACAGGAGTGAAAAGCATTGTACATCCACCAAAGATAAATCTGCCTGGACCGAACTAAATGACAACCTTTTTGTCTTTTAAACTACCAAAATTTGGGACCTCTGCATTATAAAAATGATAATTACAAGTACTTACAACTGTGGCAAAGGTCAGACGCTAGACTGAGGTGCTGATTGTTGTTATTGTCATGTCATTCCTGGTCATCAGCATATCTACAAGCCATCTTTGCTCCTTGGGGCCTTGATGCGAAAACATAACCAACTCTGCCCTCAAAGTTACTAACTTTTACTCTTGGTTGGAAAGTGGCAAACAGGGGTTGAGTGACTTGGCTAAGGTCACAGCATATATCCAAATCTTGCTGGATTTGAACCTTTGACCCTATGATCCGGGTCTTACTAACCATAACCACTTTTTTTTGTCAGTCTGCTCACATCTCGGTATTAGTGTTCAGGTTCTCTTCCCACAATTAACCGTTTACGTAAGCAAAACTCTGAAATTAAATGTTAATATCAAAGGTGCAGAAATGAAAGAGGTTGATCTTTAAAATGTTCTCCTTCTTTTAATTTTAGTCAATTACATTGATATTTCTGTCTTCCAGATTTGTCTTTCAAAACAGATCACAAACTACGCAGCAAGAAAAGTTCACAAAGTGGACATCAGCAACATGAACTTTCAGTTAATATATGTACCAAGTCCAACTTTAATAGCCAACTGCAGAGAAATCTCAACTACCTGATTAAATTTTCCCAAGCAGATGACGGTCTTGACAGCAAAATGCGTGGTTCTTGGCTATTCTGTTCTTAGCTGAGTCAATTTCAAATACTTTGCAAAGCATTAATTACAGACATGTTTCATGATGCTCATGTCGTCCGCTCTAAATTCCTTACAAGTGTCCTACATTGTACACAGTAGATCTTTGCTTCATCTTCAAACTTGATTAAGTTTCCTTTAGAGTGTTATTACACATTGTATTAAGCATGTGCCATTTTTGTTTTCTTCAAACTGACCTTTTAAAAAGATTTTTGTTTTTCGTTTTGAAGATTTTTGGGTCATGGTAGGATTGTCTTAATTCACATACGTGTTTGAGTTGATAGCCCAGGTGTGGTTTCGTTTATTTTTGTTTTCAAATTAATGTGCCAATTTCGCATGATCGATGTTGCATGGAACACTGAATGAATGTTACTCCATGACCATTTATCTTTGCAATCAACAATCACTAGGTTTGTGAATAGAATGAATGAAGGGAATAGTTACAAAATATCTTGGAGTCACTTGTGGAACTTTTTGGGGATTTAATTTTTAAGGAGAGGTGTGGCTTTGTCTTTTCTCTGATTAACCAATGGACGGCAGTGGTCTAAAGATTCTTTAAATAAATTGAAAAACTAAATACTGGAGTCAGTGCTATCAAGTTTTCCAGTCTTCATGCTACAGTGTTCAGGTTGAAGAAACCAGCATGATTGATAGCCATTGGTTACATTGATCAGTTTTTATGTTGCCTTTGGTTCTCAATTCAATGCACCTTGAACTCACACTAACAACGTACACACTCAAGAAGCTTTCTTGAAGTGATTTCAAGGAAAAATGCAGGCCTCTCTTTAATGATCTATTGTGTGCCGAGATGCAAATTCTGTGAAATTCTGACTTTTTTTCACGGCTCTGAAAACGATAAGAAACTATGTAACTGTCCAGTGTCTGACAAGCGAGTACTTGTGCTGTTGAATCAAGAATTTTGGCTAAGTCTGAAGAACTTTTTATGCAACAAATCGTGTTTGTATCTTCAGCCAAACTCTGCATCATTTTTCACTGTTTCCCTGGTAGTTATTCTCTTCGTTTCCTGAAAGCTTTCCTTATATGTCACTAATTTTGGACCCAAAGACTGAGTCTGTTCATATCAGCTTGCCAGCTTATCATTGTGTGTACAATTTTATGTCGGTGTGCATATAGCAGTCTGATTGCTACTGTATTGTCTGGTCACATTATTTCCTGCATGTCTTCTACTTCAAACTGCTTTTTCTTCATATCTCCTTTTGAAGTCTGACCGGACAGTGTAAGGGTGTGTATGAATACTGTCCGAGTAGTTTGTAGGTGTAGGTACCCATTCAGTATGACTCTAATTAGAAGAGGAAGTTCTAGCTGACATGACTGTAAATTTGAGAAGATGGACGTAACTGTCAAAAAGTCTCTTATTGGCCATCTGGCTGTCGCATAAGCAGCTGGATCTGCTGTTCAGATATGCACCCAACCTGTGGAACCAAGAATGAGTTTTTAGGGCCTTTCTTAGCAATATACATGTAAGTACAAGAACTGGTTTGCTCTAGACAACTAAACAGAAACATCTTTAGTAGCAGAGGTGTCTGGCAACATCACATAAAAGTTTAAGTAGGGTTTGTATTCTTTCGTCTTGGGGCCATTTTTACTGTGCATGCATCATGTACATTGTAGTGTCCCAGTGTTGTTGAAGCAGGAAAACAATGCAAGACTGAGTCATTGTAGTCATGGATTGTGGAGGATTCAGGAGTGCCTGCTTTCTTAGGATGTTTCTTTGAGGATTGGAGTTAACTCCAGCAAGGTGCCCGGACAGCTCCTGTACCTTATTTGTACTGGTACCAGTGTCGCACTTGCTGTGGTAAAAGAAAACGAGAAATAGGAGAATTAGAATTGTTTCTCTGAATGGAGATACACAGAGATTTGTTTGTGAGACACTAGTCTGGCGCTGCCCTAGCACCAATTCTCATTGGTGTATTTACACATGCTGCATGTTAAAACCATTTCCAGACTTAACACAACCAGAATAGCAATGCCGACTGTTCGTAGGATACATTCATAGTGTTACTTTTATTGAACCCCTAGCCCGTACTGGTATTGCATTTATCTTGAAGGAATTAGGCACATCTGGTTTCATTGATAACTAACAGACTTCTATAGTCTCTTTTTCTCTCCTTTTCTCCATTTTTTGGGGTAATATCTGTGCTTTTTGAGCAGTTGTTAAATTTGACAGTGTGTAGCGCCCGACCATTTTTTTTTTATTTCAAACACGTTACATTTATGCATCTGCTTTTTGTTTAGGACACAGAGGCTGGCCAACAGAGGAGAATAGGCAAAGTGCGCCCTCGATCTGTTATTATGAAAGGTAAAACACTGACCAGTCATTGCCGTAGAGTTTTACTTGTAATTTTAACATTCATCTAGGTGGCGTTTTTACCACATATTTAACATTTGATCAAAATGGCATTGTTAAAAATTGCTTTGAGTTGCGTAAGAAATACTTCAGTATTTATTGCCAAGCAGAACTTGTCCGTGGTATTTGCAGTTCGCTATGTTTGTCTTCCACTTCGCTGGCATAAATCGTTCCAAATACAAGAGCAATTTTCCTGCTGTTATTGTGAAGCCAGACTGTGGTTTCTTATTGTTATTTTCTATACATGGGGAGGTTTGTATATTTGAGTGTAAGTTCTTTACTTTGGGTTTCTGGGTGTAGATTTTGAACTTACTGTGGTGGAGATGGATGACACGGATTCCGGGGACAAGCTTGAGAATGACCAGACAGACTCTTTGGCGGTCTCGAAGCCTCCTTTGAGTCCCACCAAGCCCAAGTCCCCGGTCCCCAAGGTGGACAAGAAGACAGCCAAGAAAGCCGCTGCAGACACCAAAGCCCTGGACGAGGCCATCCAGGCAACAGAGACTCTGAGTGATGTCAGGAAGAACCGTGTCAGGCCGCCCCGGCAACGGCCCACCCGGCCATCCAATCAGCCACAGAAGAGCACACCTAGTCTTGACGGGCCCAGCACTGCCCCTGCGGTGGACACAGGAATCAGTGATTTCTTTGCAGCAGAACTCAATGTTGTCAAGCCATCCAAACTACAAAGCCAAGTCAGCTCAGTTGGTCCAGTTCAGTAAGTTCGAAGGAATTTCTTCTTCTATGTATACCTGAGACATTTTCTCACAACTTGTACCTCTGTTAAACTAAAACTTGTATTTCCTCACCGGAACTACTGGTAAGATTCTGTGTGCCAGTTCTTTTCATAGCAGTACAATCAAAATGGACTTACGCTTTAATTGCCAATTTCATGTCAGTTTATTAATAATACAAACACTATGCCACACTATCAAATGTCAATCTGAATACATGCCACAGTGAATCCAGGGCACTTTGTGTCTGCTTTTTTTACTCGGTTTTTCTAACCAACTTGTTTGCATCTTAGCATTGCTTTACTTTTAATACGTAACCTGAATTGACAGAAATCTGAGAAAGCTTTTATGCAGCTGAGACTCAGACATTCAAAATCTGTGCACCTGATTCGAAATATCCATCACTCTGTAAACTTGTAGAATTTTGTCATATTTTCCATTTGAAAAATCGAGGCGTGCTAGCATAAACATGTACATGTATCAAAATCTGGTTAGAAAAATAGAAAGTTTAGCTTTTTTACAGAAATCTGGCCCTATCATTCACAGTTTGAATCACATTCTACTTAACTTAGCAATTCAATTTTTGCGAGTAGAAATCAATGTAGTAAAAATTTAGAATAGATCTTTTTCTCTTTCTGTTACCATGGTTACAGAAACAGCACTGAATCAACAGAACTCAAGCCCAAGAAGAAGAGGCTCTTCCAAAAGAAAGACAAAAAGGATGAGGAAAAATCTAAGAAAGAGGAAAAGAAAGAGGAGTCAGGAAAGGGGAAGAAGTGAGTCCCAAGAAAGAAAATACTATTTCTAGGAAACTTGTGACTTTTAATAGCAGTGTTAACTTATTTCCCTGTAGGAGTTGCTCCATCACACATTTCCAAATTTGTTTCTTCAGAGAATCCTTTTGGAATGGTTCATGTTACCTAATGGGACCTCAGGTGGGGAACATTCTCATTTACGTTAGTACACTTTTGCAATAACGCTTCATGGGTATTGCTGAGGCGTACCAGCCTGTTGCTGCCTTACCAGAATGGTTCCAGTGTTGTAACCATGTTAAATTTCTGCTAGTCAAGTCACAAGTCCTTTTTTATTGATGAAGTCACCTGTGATGTTTTTCAAAACAGGTCTGATCCATCCGCCCAATTGTTTCCATCATAATGCCCTGATATTTCTGATGATAAAGCACCAGTCTAGTGAAAAGAGACAGGTTTGCTTTGACGCATAGAAAGTTGGAGATAACTTTGTTTTTTTCTTGTGTTCATTTCAACAAAAGTTTGTTACATCAAATTTGTCCAAGTTAAGTCACAAGCAATTTTCATTCCAAGCCAAGTCTCTAGTCAAACAATTTGCTACGGTGGGTTGACTCCAGGTGGGGTCACCAGTTCAATTCAACCACACAGGCAGAACCTACAACAGGAATTTCTAAAGCTTGCCCTATATGCAAAAGCCATTTAGTTGTAACAATGTCACATTCAGGCATGGCCTTGCACACAGTGGGAAGATGTATATAACTTGTGTGTTATCTAAAGGAAGAAACAACTTGGAAAAACATTGCAGGCTGAAGTCGTAGCCTGCTGTGTTTCTTACAGAAATTTCCTCATTAATTTGCCTGTTATGGCCTCTTGGCAGGACCTATCTACATTCTACCTCTGCCCAAGCAGCTGTTTCCAATGACTCTCGCAGTCCTCTGTTAGTACCGCATTCGGGTAAAAATCAATTTTATTGCCATAAACTTACCACTGCAGGTTTGGTTTCAAGGGGATCTTCAAGAGGAAGCATTCCTTGCCAAATTCTGAGGAACAGGAACAGGTAACGGAGCCAGACACTAGACAGGGTAGCCATCCACGTCCGACCAATGAGGTATCGGCAGAGCCCACTGTTACTAAAGAAGGTAAGTCAGTTCTGATGATTATGTGATTTGTGCAGTAGTCATCAATTACAAGTTGCTGGTTGAATGTAGTGTATTTCTGACCAGAAGTAGGCATACTTAGCTTTGAATGGGGGAGTGCTGCTATAGGTTGCAGGTCTGTGTGTTGAGTAATCCTTTGTAGTTGGAGTGCTTTCCATTTGTGTGAACTTGGTGCTATCATCTAAATTTTGTTTTTTGTGCATTTACTTGCCAAAGATCTCTGAGATTACTTGTAATTTGCAATTTGCAAAGTGTCAGCGTATTTTAGTGATTCAGTATGTAATGCTCTTATTAATTTTGAACTTTAAACCTTGTGCTGAATTGTATTACTTGGTCTTTTTATGTCTATTTGTAGAAAGCAAGAAACCTGATAAAGAGCCATCACCAAAGGTGGTTGAGAAGAAGCCACTATGCTTGCCAACCAACAAGCGATCCCTAAAGAGTGCCACCAGCCCTTCCAAGGAACCACAGCCAGGGGCTGAAACCAAAGCCCCTGAGCCAGAGGAGGAGGCCAAGATAAATGATACCAAGGAGGAAGCAGAGGCTATCCAAGGAGAGACTGCAAGTCAAAAGGAGGTGGAAGTAAGAGGAGAAGCAAGTGATCAGACCCAAGATACTGATCAGAAGCAAGAGGAGAAAGTGGAGGAGAAGGTGGAGGAGAAGGAGAAGGAAAGAGATAGTAGAGAGGAGGCTGGACCAGAAGAAGTGAAGGAGAAAGAGAAGAACGAGGAAGAGAAGAAGCCTGTGCCTGAGGTCAGGAAGCCAGGCTTGGTAGGGGCTCAGATGCTGGGTGGCACTAACATGCTCTTGGAGATGAAACGTAAGCAGGAGAAGAAGGCTGCTGATCGAGCAAGCAGGGTGAGTAGACCTGGATTTGTCTTCACCGTTTTTAAACCCAGACTGTGACCTACGGCAATTTATTCATTTCCATTTCCAAATTAAGGAACGCTAGGGCTGCAGAAAGTGCCATCCATTTAAGCTGTGTGAATAGTTTGTAGGACTTACCCAGATTTGCTTTCAATTCTGTTAACTAGGCCAACCAAGGGTAGACTAAGTAATGACCTTAAATATGGCGATGATCATGATGAGAAGGGCTGTAGACTTTCCTTCCCTTGTGCGACTTAAAACCTCATTTTTTTATGTGCAAAAAATACAGTTTACACTGAAGTTCACTTGTTTAATTAATTCTTAATTGTACAGTGCTGGTGGCAAAGCCTCTGTAGGTTTATTCATAAATTTGGCATCATAATTATTCATAATCACATGCTCCTCTCCATGAAAACATTTCTTATAGTTTCTAGACATTCGTTGAGACAAGTGTGAATGTAACTTATGCCCTACTATAACTGACATGTATCCATTTCCCTTTTTTTTAATATTACCCCAAAAGAAACTTCATATTGATCCACTTGCTGATAGGAAAGCACACCGACCAGTATTTCTTCATTGATGTACTTTGAAAAGGATGCATTCCAATAATGTTCTCCTTGTGAAATTCCCTGCAGGAGCTACTGGAGAGTCAGGTGCCCAAAATTGAGGACCAACCAAAAGAAAAGGCAGACACAAGTCCAGTTGCCGCCGATTCTTCTGAGAAGCCCGTTTCAAGCATCAAGCTGCCCCTCCCTAGGGTGACAACTTCGGGACCTACCTCCCCAACTAGTGGAATCAAATCCCCAACAACTCCTCCCAAGGTTTCTCCTGTGAAGCCGACCCTGACACCGAGGGTGAAGTCGCCAATTGAGAAGGCCCCTTTGAACCAGCTGCCTTTAGAGGCAAATGAGACCAAAGCTCCCCACCAGAACTCCAAAGAGAATGCTGTCAAAAGCACTGGAGAACGTCCATTGACAGAGGCATCTGTGAATGAGAAACCCAAGCTTGATAAGGAAAAACCAACAATAAAGAAACGACCCCTGTCTGGGAAAAGTGATGCCCCACCAGGGCCCACTGCTACCTCACCTCCGACCACGCCGGAAATGCCTTCAAAATCAGAGGCAAGCGTCAAACCTTCAGATATCTTGAAGAGGAACTCGACTGAGGTGAAAGCTAGGCTTCAGGAGCATCCAGCAAGTCCTGATTTGAAACCAGATGGAGCAGAAGCCTCAAAACCACCCTCAAGACCTAGCTCTCTCAGTGAAGACAAACATTTGGATTCCAGTGCTGCAAAGCCTAGCACAGCATCAGTGTCACCAAGACCTAAGCCAAGACCAGCAAAGCGACCCGTTTCCATTGCTCCAGGTGTGGCAAAGAAACCTGAAAGTGAGTTCATTACAAACTTTTTTAACTCCCAAGGCATATAAATCTCCTTCCCATTTTCAAACAACATTTTTGAACTATTCAACTCCTCTGAAACTTCAGAAAAAAAGCTTAAACCTACCGTTAATGTTGTTAGTATGGATTTTTCATCTTCCATTCTGTGATGTCAGATGCAGATCTAAGAAAGGCAAGTGCCCCTGCTGTAAGTGTGACTCTCTCCCCATCCAATCCAGACACCAAGCGTCTTGAGACTCCACCAGACAAGCCACCACTGAAGTCCCTCTCCTTAAACAAGGACAAACCCCCTCCAAGTAAGACCTGAACCTGACACAGTTTCTTCCTCTGATCAGAAGATTTCCTTTTTTCCCCTAAATGTCCTATGTATGCATTACAAAGAGAAAAATGCTGCCTCCAGACAGTAAAGTTCCCTTTACCTTGTATTTCCCGTGATGTAGTTGAATGCCAAGAAATAAACTTTTCTGAATGGTAGGTGTTCTGTCAGCCAGTGTACTTCATGTTTTTGGTTTAATATTTTGTCATGCTAGGGAAGTAAATGAAACAGGAAAAAAAACTTTACATGTACACGTACAGTCCTTGAATTGCGTTTCAGTTGTCCATTGCCCATTGATGCATAGAAACTAAATAGAAAATGGAATGTGTCTGTTGATGATTGTGGAACTCATAATAAGAGTGGTTTGCAATATGCGGTATGCCAGAGGTTATTTGCCTGGAAGAGCCCTTTATTTCAACTCCACAGTCAGCTTTTTCCCCGTGTCATGTGTCATGTGTGGCAGTTAAACTGCTTGCTATTATTTGCATGTTGCATCACACAAGTGCAGTTTGGAGCCTTGTTGATACATTCCTTAATATTGATACACAAAAGATTCCAACTTGAATCGCATGTCCAAAAAATGTAACAACTAGGAGTTCTTGTGTGAAAGAAACACTGTCAACTGTTTTTTCCAATGTTCGAGTGTAGACAAACTGAAAAACATGTTAGATGACCAAATTAACCCAAACTGGAAATCACACTATGTTTGTGTTTACATGTGCATCTATTATTCCCCCTTAGCTGTTGCCAGCAAGCCACGGTCCAGGTCCTTAGATCCAGTCGTGTCAACAAAAGCTGCTCCCAAGCCCTCCGCTGAGGTCAAAGGTGACACCTTACCGGAGGTACCTGATCATGATGGGAGGCGTGACTCTGTACTGTCCCGGAGCAGTGATGAGGGAACAGTTGAAGAAGTAGATCACCACAGCGCCCTCTAAGGCCCTTTCGGGTTGGGCTGATGTTTGGTATTAGAATATTGTCAATTTTTGAAGGGAAAGATCTCATTGCTTATGCACGGACTCTTTATGCGTACCTGTTACAATGTATGTACAATTCTTCTGAACATCACAGAACCAGTTACAGTGGATACTGATGTATGCATATATCTCATGTATTCAGAATTTTAACTGTTTTTTGTGACTGTAAGATGCTAAAGTGGCATTTTATTAGATAAGCTTCTCTGTTCTGTGTACATTATGAACCTACCCAACGGAACAACTTGGAGAAATTCAAGAAAGGCCATTTTGCATTTTGCCAAAAGGATTTACTTTTTGACACAATTCTTGTTGGAAGGTATTTATTTTTAAGATGTACATTAGTTCTACACTCCTTTCCCTACCTTTGAATAGTACAAATCGTATTATAGTAAATAGCATTTAATGAACTCATTGTGATAAAGGACTCATTTTTTTTCAAGTGCTTAGTTCTGAACAAAATTATTAATAATCAGAAGAGTTCTACATCTTGCCTTACGCACTGTGATAATCCATCAGATTTGTATGTCTTGATTATTTGGTATTTTGAAAATGACAATTTGTAAAAAATTCTTAGTATGGAAAATCAGAATTAAATAGGAATTCTGCTAAAACAGTTATTTCTAAAGCTGTCAGTGTGCATGCACATTTCTTTTTTGGGTCAAAGTATATTACCCACTAGGGTGTATGTAAAATCATATTGAAATTGGAGGATTTGGGAATGTTAGGGTTAATATTCTATCATGGGTAATTTTGTAATAAAAATGAGAATTTAATTATAGCCTGAATCTTGCTTAGTTTATAAAGCTGGTGATATCTGGTGTTGGGGCAAATGGTAAGGACTACATGAGGCTTTGTTTATAAAGAAGTTGCTGAAAGTCTATGAGTATGGAAATACTCCTTAGCATAAACACCTAAAAAGCAATAAAATACCCTTTGAAATAGTGAAACAAAAGTTGAACATTAGGTTAACTGAGACAAAAAAGCGCATTTTGAAGGTTTATATCGAAACAACTCCATTGCAGGTACCCTTTATCATAAAGGCCAAATTTGATGTCGCACAATGGATATTTCATTTGGACAGAAAACTCTTCCAGAGAATTCCAGAGAATATTATAGTTAAATTTAATCATTTCAGTGCTCTTACTGCATTGTTTGCATTGTGTTTTCAAGAAAACATGTTTATAAAAACATGCTTAGCCTTACCTTAGTTCTCCTTCCTGAGTTCCTAGCAGACAAATACTTGAGTTGGAGAGTAACTGACCTGTTTTGTGGAAATGGAATTGAATGGCTACTGGTGATATTGTTTAGTTTCTATGTCCAAATATACTTCAAACAATGCTAAAGTCTAGCATTCCTTTATTATCATTCCTCTACTTAATGATGCCAATTTATAGAGTTTTGTTTCAAGGAAAGGAATATCTATGCATGCAGAAGTTATCCCTGACTCAGTAATATAAGAGCAGGTTTATTTTTGTAAATACCTAAAAATTTGTATGTCTAACCACCATTTCCTGTATTGAATAGTAATACATGTGGAGACTTTTTGGAAAACTATTTATGAGAAACGATATTAACTTTGATGAAAAATACACGTTTATTGAAAATTCTATACTCTTGATAAGTGTCCAAATGGAATCGAATTGCAAAAAAGTTGAAAGATTCAAAGTCCTACTGATTTGTTTAATTTTAGAACTGTGGTATAAGACTTGATACATTGCTGTCTCCATTTCAGTAGGGTCAGTGGTTCTTTTGCATCAACAAAAATGATTTCACGATTTCAGTACTTATAATTTGAGAAATACGTTCCCGGTTAAGCTTGTGTACTTGTTACATAGGTTCGTGGAGAAATGTTTGTGATAGTGCTCCATTTCTCAGAGAAATCGTTGCTCCTTTTCATGGCCAGAAAGACGGGAGTTCGCACGTGCGTTTTGAACTGGCCCTACATGAAAAAGTATGGGGTCGTTAATTTGGAAATGGCAAAATATATATATTTTTTGGTTGCAGACTCATTGTATTGTAACTTTGTGACGGCAGTGAAGAGTTTTTTATGGGGGATTTAATCATTGTTTTCCCGGTGAACATGTGCATATTAATTTGATTAACGACAGTTCAATTTGGGTTAGGCATTGTAGATTGGAAATTACAGTGCTAAATTTTCTTTTGTCCACTTTGGAATGTTTCGTTTCATGTATGCTAGAATGTTAGGACGAAATGGAAATATAGTTTCATGGAGTATGTACAGGTACATGTTAAACCAGGAAATGTACAAACGTTTAAAGAGATGTAAAACTTGGAAAGTAGGGGAAAACTGTAGAAACATTTACTTTAGAATCAATTAAACAAAGCCAATTATTGGCCAGTTTTAATGAGGGGTAGGTGATGAGATTATAATATACAGCATTTGGCAGTTGCAATTGAATAGTGGGTTTTTTGCGCGTTTTGAATGTTTAAAAGTAGTTTGGCTATTTTCAGTGGGTTTGATTTCTACCTGTTTTAGCTCTGTTAGACCTGGGGAATATTCCACAGTCATTGTATGTGGCCTTGCTATCTAAACTTGGTTACAGTTTTTTATTCGATTTCTTATCCCTGTTTTTAATTCCAATTTGAACTCAAAAACCCTTCCACGTCACTGACATGAATTTCTGACGGCAGTTTGTGTTGAAATAAGGCCAGAAATTTGAGTCCTCAAATAAGCTTGTTCTTCCAGTGAGGCAGGGTGCTACTTTTATTTATTTTTTCCCCTCCCTGTACTTTTTTGTTACGAAAGTTTCGAGTTAGCAGATGAATTTATATGTATATTTTATTACAAGTTGGTAAATAACACCGGTAAGATGAAAAGGAAACGAATGGAAAATTTCTGTGTATGTTATACTAATGTTCCTGATACTTTTTAAGAAAACAATAACTTAAGAAAACGAAGAATGCAGCTTTTGTGCATGAAAATTTATTTAATTGTAGAGTAACATTGAGTAGTGAAAGTGGGGTATTGATGCATTCTGTATTCCTTGTGTGTAATTTCAATTACGTTTGTGTGTATTATGGTTTCATTTGCTTATTTTTTCTAAATAGAATTATTACACGTAATATGTACTTTTTTGATATAATTGTGCTTCAGTGAGTAGATAAATGTAAGACGTCCACTTCAGTTGCCTTTTTGTTTTCGTAAATTGCGTTTTAATAATATTTTGTAAAAATCCTTACCATCAGTAAGTAGGTAGAATGTAGAGGTGATATGTTGTTCTAAGGGAAAATCACAGGAATGCAGTTATTTCGTAAAATCTTGAAAATGAAGAAAAAGATAACAAAAAATGAAATACTCAGAAACATAAGTATGGAAAGTAATATGACGAAAAATGTGTAGTATAAATGCCTTTTTGGAGAAACATAACACGAATATATTAAAGGTGGATGATACAAAAAAGGAAGAATCGGATTTTTTTCACACGAGTTAAATAGTAATGAACTGAAGCTGCAACACCTGATGACATTTCAAGAAAAATGCCTGCACGCATTAACGACTGATATTGAAAATTGAAGACGAAATTAATATATTTATATTTTTTGTACAGACTTAAAACTAAAGAATATATTGCAACTTCCATTCAGTTCCCATAAGTGTCCCATTTTAGTCCTGTAAATTTTGTGCGTGTTAGGCAGAGGTAAATTCATTTTGATATTTGAATGTTTTGGGTTTATGCAGTGCTTCACTGTTAATGCAGAACCGCAAGCTTTGGGCTATCGTCGGAACTGTTCCACAGAAAGACGCATAAAAAATCCTCTCTAGCTTCTGAATATGCAACCAATTTGTATTTCTTGCAGTTACTCGTGCACGGTATGAGAAGCGTGCGTAGCTTGATAAATAGCTCGCTACTCTGGATTTGCCATGATAAGTTTACTGTGTAATTAAATACCGACACAACTGTATTTGTGTTGTATGAATTTTGTTTGTGTTGTATATGTATTAGTTTTGTACGCAGGGAATGGAATTTAAAAGTGAATTAAAGCATTTCTTTCTGTTAAGTTGTACGTAGAAACCATTTTGTATTTCAATCAATAAAAATATTTCAGTTACAATGGTGTTTATTTCAGTGCTTTTTCATTTAGTAAAGAATGGAGAAAACAATCTTGTAGTTATCATTGAGGGAACCTAACAACTAACGTGCCATACTTCCGATGTCCCCACTCTATTACACTTTTACTCGCCTGTTAGAAAAACTGTAAGTAAAAAAAAAATTGTCATAAATCTTTGTTTACTGAAGCGATACGAAAAGGGAAAAATATATCAAAATGTAAAACAAAAATTGAAACTCAACTCAACCCTAGTAAAACAAGATAATCCTCAGGGAAACATAAGTATGTTACCTGCGGTAGCAAAGTTCATGATGCGCACGTACAATATCAACTGTTATTTTCTTGCAAAAGTTTTTGCCTTCCTGCCGTTTGTGGCAAATAATATCCGCTAAGAGCGTACTTCCATTGGAAATCCAGAGACGTCAGGTTGTCATCTTGCATTGATAAAATCAGCCATCGCTATTTATTGACAATGGCAAAATGGGCTGTCAGCCCAGTTGGCAAAAAAGCAACATCCGTTTACATTGATATGAGTCACCCTTTGTGACTTCATTGGTAAGCAAATATAAAGAACAAAACAAAATATACATAGCATTAAACAATATGTAGAAGGAAAAAACAGGACGAAACATTTATTAAAAGGACGAAATAAAAATATATAGGATGATACAAAAGAAAATGGATAAGCAGTACATTACTGGCTTGTGGTGTAGGTTAATTCCAACGTTTCGAGTTGGCAAAACCACTCTTCGTCAGGAATCTGAGAATAAACTAAACCCAACTTTGAAAAATGAATAATATTTATCATGTTTGTAAGAACGTAGAACAAAGTCCACGTGTGTGGTGTAAAGACTTAACTTGTATGGGGCGTGTGGGTGTATTTTGTGTGAAAGTGGCTGGTAGTGATTTACACAGCGCGAGACGAGTGCTGGAAGATGAGACAGTGACAAGGGTGAAAGAGAAGGTGACGACGAGTAAACTCAAAAACTCAAAGACAGCCCGAGTGTCTGGTGAGGAGCTGGTTCTATTGTGTTGTGCATATGCATCTCATGTGCTTCTGAGTGTTTGCCAAGTTGAGTGGAGTTGGGAATTCAGTCTGCAGCGAAAATTTCTGTGAGAAATGTTGCGGTCTGAAAGGTTGAAGTGCTTGGTGGTGACGTGATCTTTCTTATTCTGTATTTGTTTTTATAGCATTAGACCCGTTACCACTGAAGCGAGTTTTTAAAGATGTGCATGTTTCCTGGATATACTGCATGTTGCACTATGTACCTGTGAGGCAGAAGATAATGTTTTTTTGGAAGTGCATGACTGGTGGCCTTTGATTTAGGAGGTTCTGCCTGTGAGGTGTGGCAAACCGTTGTGGCATTGTGGGCGTGTTCACTCGCGACATAATTTTGTTGAACATATGAAGAATCCGGCAGTTCTTGTATTTCTTGAAGTGATGAGGAAGCATACCTTTCTAGCTTTGGCTGTTTTAAAGGACACCACAAGTGGTTGTAGAAAGTAAGACTTCAACCTGGCTTTGGATTGAAGTACAGTATGTTGAAGTGGGGGAGAATGTTGGAAATAAGTGGGAGATTGGGTTGTAGGCTTACAACAGACGGAGAGGGACCCAGCTATTGGCACTCTTTGTGCTGTGGGGATTTGGGGCGTTCGAACAGCAAACTGTTCATGCTCTGGTGAACGTTTCATTGATAAGAGTGGAGATCACGTTTCTAAAGTTGAAAATGTTTCCAAAGTTGTTTCAAAGAGCTGTTGTGAATCGCCATTTTGAGCAAAGTGTGGAGTCGGCAAGCCAGGTTGAATGGGGAGACTCTTAGTTTGGTAGAAATGGCAGGAATGGAATGACAAACACGGGTGGGTGTCTGTTGGTTTGCAATGTATCTGTGATGCAAAATCAGTTGTCAATTCCTACAAGTAGACATAGAAAGACAATGTGTGAATTCGAAAGCTCTTGTGTGAATTTGATGGTTGGATTGGCAGACGTACAATATTCGAGGAAAGCATCAAAGGGGGAGCGGCTCCCTTGCCAAAGCAAGAAAATGTCGATGTTT